TGACATCTTTTTTCAAAATAGGTATCATTTGAAACAAAAAAAGAAACTTTGGAAGAACATTCATTTTAACTGCTGAGATTCTCCCCAGCAAAGATAATTGTAGTTTTTTCCAATCATTTAAATCCTTTTGCACTTTTACCCATAATGCCTCATAATTATTTTTATACAATTTAACATTAGAAGCTGTAATGTATACTCCCAGATATTTAACCTTTTTCACTATTTCAAAACCTGTCAATTTAGCTAACATATCCTTTTCCTTCGTAGACATATTTTTCGGTAATATTTTAGTCTTGTTATTATTTACCTTAAAACCAGAGAATTTCCCATACTGGGTTATAATTTTCACCAGATCCCTTACCGAATATGTCGGTTGAGATAATGTCACAACCAAATCATCAGCAAAAGCTCTCAACCTATAATCATTCTTATTTATTTTTATTCCCTTTATTATAGTTGATTCACGAATTTTAATTAGTAAAATCTCCATTGTTAAAACAAATAACAATGGGGATAATGGACATCCCTGTCTTGTACCCTTTTCAATTTTAAATGCTTCTGTTAATCCTCCATTAATTATAATTTGTGCCGATTGTTGTTGATATATAGCCTTAAGAGCATATAAACATTTATCCCCAAAATTCATTTTCTCAACAACTTTAAATAAAAATTGCCAATTTAACTGATCAAAAGCTTTTTCAGCATCCAAAAATATCAAAGCCACAGGAATTTGATTATTCTTGTCCAAATACTCAATTAAATTAACAATTTGTCTTACATTATATTTCATATATCTCCCAGTTATAAATCCAGGTTGATCACTATGGATCAATTGCTTCAAAACATGCATTAATCTATTTGCCAATATTTTCTAAAAAATCTTATAATCTGTATTCAAAAGAGATATAGGTCTATAATTCTTAGGCTGAGTAAGATCTTGATCCTCCTTTGGGATCAACGATATAAAAGCCCTTCTCCAAGATGGAGGTACCTCTGCTCCCAACAAAATACTGTTAAAAAGTTCCTTTAATGGTTCTATCATCTCTTCAGTAACATTTTATAATAAATTGCTGTTAATCCATCTGTACCAGGAGCCTTACCAACCTTTAACTGTTTAATTGCCCAAATGATTTCCTCAGAAGTAATTAAACACTTCATCTCATCTCATTGATCATTTGAAAGTCTAGGAAAATATGCTGCCTGTAGATACTTTTCTATATCTGAAACTTGTATGCTTTCACTAGCATATAACTTTGAATAAAAATCTAAAAAACTCCTTTTAATCAGATTTTGTTGATATACCTCTTTATCTTTATGATCTATTTTCTCTATAATCCTTGACTTCTGTTTCTTCCATAATTGATAAGCCAACCACCTACCAGGCTTATTTGCATTACAAAACATGTTATGTTTCATATAACACAAATTAATCGCAATCTGATCAGCCATTAACATATTAAATTGCTCCCTAAGCATATTTATAGAAACCTTTAACCTATTGTCCAATGGATTCAAAATAAAAGCCTTCTCTTTCAATTTAATCTCTTCTTCCAACTCTTTACGTTTTTGCATCTGTTTACGCCTATGAGCATTATTCATATGAATCAGAACCCCTCTCATGTAAGCTTTACTAGCATCCCAAACCATTGCCATCGAGGTACCCTTATACATATTCAAAAGAAAAAATTCCTTCAAATATTCTTTGCATTTCTGTGAAATCCCCTCATATCTAAATAAATTTTCATTCAGTTTCCAAGTGTTTCTATTCCCGTCTTCGACAGATAGCTCCAACCATACAGGATTATGGTCTGACAATATTCTGGGGAAGATCTTAGCATTCTTGACCCTAGAAAAAAGATCAGTGGTGATTTAAAAAAAGTCAATTTTAGAATACGATTGATGCCTATCCAAAAAAGAGTAAAGTCTCTGTCCTCAATGTTCCATTCTTGCTAAATGTCTCTGAGTTCCAAATCATCCTTCAAATAAAAAAAAACTTTAGGTAGCTTAGCGTGATTGGAAGATTTAAAAAAACCCTTCTTATCCTTACTTGAGTCTAAAACACCATTCCAATCACCCATCATAATAACAGATTTATAATCCAATTGAATTAGCTTCTGATGTAACAACTTATAAAACTGTTTTTGTTGTTGATTAGGGGCATATAATCCAATAATAAGAAATTTCTTGTCTTGTAATACTAATTCAATGATAACATATCTTCCTTGTATATCATAATCAATTAATTTAGCCGATAAGTCTTTTCTTACATAAATAACTACACCCCCTTTTTTTCCGGAGCAGAAGCTATAAAATGTGATCCCAACTGGGAATTAATCAAATACTTTTGATCCCTTAAAGCAATATGGGTCTCCTGCAAACAAATAACATCATTCTTATGTTGTTTCAAATAATGAAATACTTCCTTTCTTTTCTGTGGTGAATTCAGGCCATTAACATTCCATGTCAGAAACTTTGCCATCCTTAATGGCTTGAAGCCTCTGGAACACTGCTTGAAGATTAGCTGTTGATGATCTCTTTGGTCTTGTCCCTCCCACAGGCTCTGTAGTAATCAAACCTTGTATTATAGATCCAACATCAGCCTTCTGCTGTTCCTTTTCTTTACATCTATGCGCAGCACGAGTCATCCTCTGTTCCTTTGGATCACCTTTTACCTCCGAACACTGTTCCATAGGTCCAGCCTGTAAATCTCCTACAACCAATGACATTGCACCTTCAACTAGCTGTTCTTCCGGCCTTTTTTCCATTCTCTTAGGTTGTGGAGATGGTGGCAAACCTGCTTTCAGGACAGAAGTATAAAAATCTTTTGCTTTTGAGATTGTATTAAGTCTATAACGTGTCCTAGCATAGTTCACCACTATTCCAACAGGTATCTCCCATCTAAACTGAACCTGTCGATTTTTAAGCTCCTCAGCCAGAAAAGCAAAATCCTTTCTTTTTCTAAGGATTTTTGGAGGTATTTCTTTTAAGATTATAACATTTTGGGCTGCAATTTGAAATCTCTGCTTATAAAAAGTCTGTATAATTTCATTATGAAGTGATCTCCTAGAGAAATAAATAACCACGTCTCTAGGTAAATTTCTCTGCCTCGCAATCCATGAATTGACTCTAAATATTTTATCTATCTCTCTCAATATTTCCTCAGGTTCACATCCCAAAATAGGAGCAATATCTCTTGCCACCTCCTCTCTCAGATCCTCTCATGGATTCTCCTTCAATTCTCTTATTCGCAAAGCAAATTCCATGTCTCTATATTGTGATATAGTAACTTCATCCTGTGTTGTATCAATCTTATCTTCAACTTTACCAAGTCGGTTTTCTAATCTCGCAGTATTTTCCACCACTTCATTCACTCTGTCATCTATGTGTTCAATATAGGCGGCTAGCCCTTGGAATCCAAGCGTTATGTCTTCCCTCATTTCTCTGTTCTTATTCTCAAGAAGCTCTGCCACTTTTTCTTTAATCTCTTGCGCTGTTTTTTTCAAAGCATCTTGTATGTCTTTAAGTGTAAATGCCGGTGGTGGAGGAGAGGGTGGGGGTGACTTAGGCTTAGTTTGCAACCCAGTCTGAGTTACCAGAGAGGAGATTGAACCTTTAGGAACCACAGGGATTCCGAGACGCTTTGAAGTCATTTTCTGTCTATTTAAAACCACTTCTTATAAAATCAGAAGTTACAAAAGAAGAAAGAAAAAAGAAAAAAAAGAAAAGGGAAAGAGAAGGCTAATTCCCAAAAAGAAAAGAGAAAAGAAAAGAAAGACTCTTGCCTTTTAAATAGATAGTCAAAATCTGTTACATATTTAAACTTTGTTGCCAAATATAAGTCTTTCTTAACACTGTCCTTTCAACCAAAGAAAACAACACTCCAGCGCCATTTTTCTCCTCTTACTTTTAGTGAAATTGAAAGGTGGAAAAGATTCTTTTAACTCTTTTCCTGAGTTAAAGTCCCAAGCATTAACAATTCTAATCTCTCCTAGTCAACTCTGTCTGCTTTTAATTAACTCACAAGTCTCTTTAAGATGCAGATGTGGAAGCGGCATCTTGCTTTGTTCTTGAAAAACAGGACAAAGGCATCCTGGAATGCGGAGAAAAAAAGCCTCGGGCTCCGAGGGAGCTCTCACCCTACAACCTCCAAATAATTAAGGAGGTGCAGGGGAGCTCTACCTCTACCCGTGAAAAAAACTCTCCTTCTCCTCTTCTCCCGAGGAGAGAGGTTTCAAGCCGTGGAACAGCTGATATTCACCGTCTCTGCGCGCTTTCACGCAAACCCAGGGCTGACAGCTAAGGAAAAGTTGCCATCGACGCAGCAGTCACCACCGGAAGCCCAGCACACTGTTGACAGTCAGATGTTTGGCAGTGCACTGCAGCTCCTCACTTTTTTTCCTGGCTGACGGTGACTTTGACTGCCTGTGCTTACAGGCAGCCTTTCTTCTGTCTGTTTGAAGAGGTTCCTCAGTTTATTTGGACCGACTGCCATCTGGTCCAGACTCCCAAAGCTTCCCTTCTTCTTCGTTGCTGTTGTATATACTTCGTATACAACTCTGGGCAACTTTCCGACCCCTTGGGGTTGCCGGAACAAATGAAATCAGGCTAAGAAGCTGGAGCCCCAGTTTCTTCCACCCATCTCATCATAGCATCAGATTGGAAGTCAGTAGAATCTCGATTTATTCTCTGTAGTACCCAAGATAGGACAAAAGGCAATCAGTTGACGCTTTAAAGAGGGAAGTTCAAATCTGAAGTAAGGAAGAATTTTCTGAGTATGAGAGCTATTAAGTAGTGGAACAATCTCTTTCCTGTAATTATAGGTACTTTATCAATGGAGTTTTCAAGAAACGTTTAGCAAATGTCTCTGAGATGATACCAGGATTAAGAGGTTGGGATTAGAAAAGCTTCAAAAGTGCCTTCCAACCCTTTGATTCTATAATTCATTTGTCCCCCCAGCTGTTTCATTGTGTTTGACTTCTATTTAATTTACTTTGTTTCAGCAGAGTTTTCCCTAGGAGGAGAGGCTCCGGAGAAAAAGGCTTCCCAGGATGCTTCTTCAGGGACACAGCTTGGCAATGTGAAGGTACAACCCGGGGGGGAGGGCAAAAAAGTCAAGCAAAGGCACTCTCTTGACCCCTAGCTTCTTGGGGTTCCTCTGTGGCCCTGCTTTCCCCAGTTTAGTGTTCCCCAAGCGTTCCAGAATCTGGAATAAAAATCCTATTGTAGGAATGTTACTTCAGAGTTGTAGCAGCTTCCCATATTATTCTTGTTCTCCCTTAGTTTATGCAGATCATCACACTGCTTCATCTCACCACCACCAATTGCTCAGTCATTTGTTGTCTAGTTGCATTATCTCCAAACCTCCGGCATTAAAGTCAAAATCAACACTTGATGCCTTGAGGGACACTCATTTGGGAGGGGTGCTGTCCTTGGCTATGAGATGTTGTTTAGATCAATTGGTCTTAACTGCTCCACAAGTATCTTGCTATGGTATAGCCCATTCATTCTTGCTCTCTGCTGTGGGAGGCGTTGCCTGGATTGGCTTGGGAAAGGCTGAGAACCTTGGAAGACCCTTGGGCCAAAACATCTCTAGCTTTCTTTCAGCTGTGCCCCTTCAGCTTCCTACTCTTCAGGGGGTAGGAAAAGCCTCATAATTATTCCTTTTTCTCTTCCTATTTCCAGGGCATGCTCTGGAGACGTTTCAGAAATCGGAAGGGATGGCTGCATCCTAAGACTGATTCCTCAGGTGAATCTGCTGTGAATGGCAATAGGTAGGCTCTAACAGGAATTCTCATTGCCTTATTTATGCGCCTCTTTCTGTATTCACTTTGTTTTCTTGAATATATTGGTTTAGATGTGATGAACTCATCCTATTCTTTATGTTTCAGCTGATATCCTGGCAGCCAGTTTGAGATATGGCCCAAAAATGTTATTTGTCTGTTCACCTTCCGTTCATTTAATCCAGATTTCCCCAATCCAGGTGCTTTCTATATGGACCATACTTTGGGGGGGGGGGGGTGAGGGGTTTATGTGAAATGAATCAGGTGTGGGAGACTGATAGTCCAACTCAAAATAAAAGAACTGAATATTTTATAACAGAAAAAAATATTGGAGGATTGTTCAAGAGAAAATAAAATTTTAAGAATGAAAGCATCTTTATAACATAGTGTGACTATTATGGCATATAAAAGGTTGCTAGGTCAATGTCTTCCTGATAGCTTAAAACACCATAAAAGGATGCTATGCTTATTATTTTGAACAATTTACTGCTGCCTTAGGGCAGCATGTGGCAGTATCAGTCACAGCTGTCCCCAGATCCCTGATATTCCAGCAGTGGAACAAAAGGCTTCTCATACCTAGCAAACAAACTGAGCACTATCCAGACATAATAAAAGTGCTGTTGGCAGAAGATTCTTAGGTTCAAAATACAATTGAGAAACACTGAGAATCAGCGTTTCCTCTCAAAGACTGATAAATTCCCAGGTACCCCTACTCTCTCTACTATTGAATTTTTTTTTAAAGTATTTTTCCCTGCAGCAACTCATGGTTTCAAGAGCATATTTAACTGATTGGACACATGGTATAACTCATTTTATCATGATTTTTTTTTTTTTTTTGCCAGCATGTCTCATTCCTACCTTCTGACATTTGACCCAAAGTTCAGCTATATGAAAAAACCAAAGAAATAGCTGGTAAAGGTAAAGATGCCCTTAATCAAGCTGACTCCATTTGTGCAGTTTTGGGGGCAGCATTATGGAAGCACTTTACCATCCTACTCCTCCAAGATGTTTTTTCCAATTTTCCCAGTCTAGATAATAGCCCTCACATTCCAGATGGTCTCCCAAGTCATTTCTAACTTGGGCCAAACCTGTTTAGTTCTAAGAAGTTAGCTAAATTTCTCTACTTTCTCAGAAATTGTCTGGTAGGGCAGTCCAGAAAGCAGGTGCACTGTTAACAAGATGGACGCTTGGAGCACAGCAAGCTTATCTCTTATTTCAGCTCTGGCTTGAGCCCAAACAATCATTTTCACAGTTTGCTTCATTTGTGACTTATCATCAGGGCCTTGTTCCGGAATACATTTCCCATTTCCTCATCCTGAATAGGCTTCTGGGTTTAAAGTGTGGTCTTTGGACTTTGCTTAGATATGCCTTCGCCTTTGCTTCTAAAAATGATCCTGGCAGGTCTACGAGAGAATGGGTCACTGACTCCCTGAATTCTGAAGCAAAGCCTCCTTTCCAGGATATGGTTTTGGGAAGGTTGGGGGTTGACTGTAGTAGAATTTTTAGAGTCTTTGGACAAGGCTCCTCCTCTTTTGGTGTCTCACTCAATTCTAGTCTAATCGTAGCAGGAAAAGCAGGCCTGCAATGATTTCCTCAATTAACTTATGATCTGAAAAGAATTTTTGAAAAGCAGCAAGTCTTTGCAAATGCATAGGAGTTTGTGGACACATTCTATTTCTTATTCTGGCCTTTCCATTGCTTCCTACAGGGAGGCCTTGCCTGGCTCAGCTCTCACCCTGGACTTGAGGAATGAGAAAGATGTCTTGATCCGACCACTTCATAGCAGCCTTGTGGGAGAGCAGCACTGCTTTGAGGTATAACCATATATTATTTCATAACTTGATTCAGTAATGAGATAATTCTATATTCTGCAAGTGGTTCTTGGAGATTCAGCTACCTTCAGATTGAAACTCAATTTCTTGTTAATACTCCATCCATAAAGTTGGTCTGGCTAGACGAAGGACTTCAGATGTTCTTGGCTACAAGGATCTATAAAAGAGGCAGAAGACTTAACTTGTATACCCTTTGTCTCAGGGCAGCTGCAGCCTAAAACATTTTGCAGTCTGAGCTGCATAAACATAAGTGTCCTCTGATCTCTGATAGTCATGGCAAACCAGCTTAGTCTGGTGTTTCAAGATGAATATATTATATGAACCCCTGCCCTTTTGGCAGTCATGAATCATGCAGTGTCATAACCCCCATTTCATCTGCTTACTGCTTCCTCACTTTGTTAATCCTAACAAGGGACTGTTACCTCAGAATGAGAGAAGATACCAGATTGGCCCAGGGCATGTCTTAACCAGAGTTCTCCTCTCTTAGGTCCTGAGTGCTGGGAAACGCTACTGCTTTAGCTGTTCATCTGCTGCTGAGAGAACCCATTGGATGGAGAACTTACGTCAAGCTGTCCAGCCCAGTATGGTAAAGCAGTTTTGACTTGTACTGTTCAGAAAACGGACATATTTCTCCATAGGAAACTTCTCTCACCAACATCACTTTCTTTTTCCCCGTATCTTCTCCTTATAAAAATCTTCTTACTTGTCTTTTGCCATGGTCTCTGTTCTTATCTCAGTCATTTATCCAAAGCAGAAATTCTAGTCTTTATGACCAAGAAGTCATAAAAAGTTGGCAGTGCTTATAAACAGTGATGGGCCCCTCCAGTCTCTTGTGTCTCCAGCCTCTACTCTCACCAGCAAATCCTTAATCTTGAACTTTCAGCTGCTTTAGACCTAATCCTGTTCATTTCTTGCCTTTTCTTTGTGAATTCACCTTTATATCTAAAAGTTTCATGTATTACCACCTAGTTGTAGGAGATGGCCAGGTTGAGCCCAAGGGAGGATCAAACACATCATCAGTCTCAAGTTCCTTCATGCCCATCAGAGATCCTTGAATTCCATTGACTCTGATCTACCATCATTAGTAGTTCAGATTCTTAGAGAGCTTTAGTGTACAATAAACTTATATATATTCATTTGAACTGTCTGGACTCCTGATTTCCTGCACTTGACAACAGTTTTCTTCAGTACTTATGTAGAAATATGGGTTTCATAGGAATTATAGTCCAACACATCAAAAAAGGTGCCACACTGGACAAGTTGTAGCACATCTTGTTTTGTATCCAGTCTAAGTTCTTAACATTGTCCCATGCATCCATTTTTTAGGATAACTGCCAAAGGATGGAATACAGGTTAAGTCTTTGGGTATATGAAGCCCGAGACTTGTCTCCCAGGAAGCAATACCACTGTGAAATCCAATTGGATGGGGTCCCATATGCCCGCACAACAGCCAAGCAAGCTAGCACCATAGGAACTCTCTTCTGGGGAGAGCACTTTAACCTCAAGACGCTTCCACCAGCTGTGGAACTCCAGATCTACCTGCTACAGGAAGAAGAAGGGCTGTGGCCAAAGGAGAGCCCCATTGCCAGTATGTCCATTCCCCTAAAGGAGCTGGCTGCTGTGCGCCAGCCCTTGGAGAGATGGTACCCACTGGGGAAAGAGAAGCCAAATATGCCCACCCTTCGACTCCGAGGACAATATTGCAATATCAGAGTGTTGCCCATCGTACAGTACAAAGAATTTGCTGAATATCTCACTTTCCATTATCGGGAATTATGTGCTTCACTGGAGCCCAGCCTCAGTGCCAGAGACAAGGAAGAGCTGATGAGTGTCCTAGTGCGAGTCTTGCAAAGCACAGGCAAAGCCAAGGTATCATTTATTTTACTAATATGCAGACTGGCATTATGATCTTGGGAGATAACCTGATACACAGATTCATCATCGGAATTTTCTTCGCTGCTATGCTGATTTTTCCCTCATGGGCTGTTTTATTGCTAGATCATCTGGTGTTGTGGGATTATTCTTTTAGCTGCCAAGGCAGCTCTCAGGTCCACAGGATAAAAACCTGGTATCATTTTACCCTTTCCCTAACATCCTGAATCTGGTTGAAAGTGGCCTTTAAATGTGAACACAGAACAGGATGGGATTTATCCTACTGACTCTCTTCCCATCTTTATTGCAGGATTTTCTCATTGACTTAGGCATAGCCGAGCTGGACCGTTTTGATGAACGGGAAGATTTGATTTTTCGTGAAAACACGCTAGCCACCAAAGCTATTGATGAGTACATGAAGTTGGTGGGAAGCCCATATCTGATGGCCACATTAAGTAAGTTAATTTAGAAAGTCTGTTTTATAATACTAAGAAAAATGCACCAAGTGTTAGTGCCTATAGTTGTTACATAGCACATAAAGTGAACTGTGATTCAAGATGGTAAGAGAAATTTATATCTGATACTAACCATCTCCCACTGCTTTGGTTCGTTACAGTTTGGAGGGACTCTGAAAAACTAGCTAAAATCATCATTGGCATTGCTAGAATATGATTATCTTTCTTTATGTCTTTAATAAGCAATTATAGGCTTGTCAAAGAATCTGTGAGTGTTTCTAGTTGGAGGCAAGAAACTAAATTAGAAATACCATTGTGGTTGTAACTCAGCACTGTCTCTGCCAGCAACAGAGCTGCATCTATGCCATCCCAGTCACCTAACAGAAACCTATGGGGGAATGTCTCACAGGTGACATTATAATCCAGCCAAATGTTTTGGAGAATTGCTGTGAAGTGGACCCAAGCAAATGCCCTCCCCGTGACCTGGCTGACAATTGCAACCATCTGCAGCAACTCTGTGAAGAGGTCTTCCTAAGGATTGCTATGTCCAGCAAGTGCGCATTTGAGTATCAAGCTTTCTCTCCTGCTACCACTGAGGGGAGGCCAAAGCTGGTTTGTAGAGGGATTTCTGGGCTTCTGATTTCTCAAATGGCTGAACCAAAGGGTCTGATCTAGAACCTTTGATGGCTCATTAGCAAATGGTCTATAGGCACAAATGAACTAGAAAAATGGGCTGTTCTACTAGAATAGGTTTAGCATGTAAAGTTAAGTATAATCAGTGTACTTTTGCAGTTTATCCCTCTCTTATCTTAGTGTAAGCAGTTCACCTTCACTTGAGAGTATACAAAAACGACTTTGTAATAATAAGTTGAATTGGCTGCAAGTGAGATCCTCAGATGTTCCTGAGCAAAGTCCCTGGGCTGGCAATAGGCAAATTGCTGTGGTTGGTCACTCCATCCAGACCTAAGTTTACTGAAACAAAATTCAGTAAACAACCAGGCAAGGTTATTTAGCTAGGAGACATGGCTGTAACAACTGTCTAGTCAGTGGTCACTAGTAAGCCTTTAGGCCTTCTTTCAGCCAATCATCTCTTTTCTCTCTGCAGCTCCTTTCCAGCTGAGCTTAGCGAGATCTTCACAGCCTGGCAAGAAGCCTGCCAGTTGCGGGGCAAGGTGGACATTGGCCAACGACTCGTCTCTGCTTCTCTATTCTTACGCTTCCTTTGTCCAGCCATTATGTCCCCCAGCCTTTTTGGCCTCACACAGAAATACCCTGATGATACCACCTCCCGCACCCTCACCTTGGTGGCCAAGGTTATTCAGAACCTGGCCAATTTCACCACGTAAGTAACCATGTCCCTGGTTCAGAATTCTAGACACTTGACCTCAGGTACAAACTAGGACTTTAAAAAAAGATTGGATGGCCATTTGTCCAGGATGGAAGAATGTTTCCTACCCTGGGCAGGGGATTGGCAGGGGATTGGAAAACCGCCAAGTCCCTTCCAGCTTTTTGATTCTATGATTCTAGTCTGTCCCATGAAAAGAAATGCATTGATAATCAGAGCAATGACATTATGTGCAAAACACAGAGCAGATTTTGAAAAGGCATCTGGAAGCAACAGACTTTTCAACTATGGAACTATGCAAAAGCAAAAAATATTATTGTTTAACATAATGTATAACATAAAATGAGGTTTGAAAACCTCATAACTAACATCAGTCCAAGATGTTAGAAAAACACTTTTTAAAGTGGAGATGTAGGGAAAATAATCACAAGAAGAATGATACTTCTATTTTTTTTCTCCTTTTAATGAATTGACAATCAGTATTTTTAGGTCTCCTATATATTAATAATGATACAATAATTTAAATCTGATTATCTGGACCTTTGCACAACTATGTTAAAGTGTTCCTAGCTCCATATGATTGATTTGGAATTACAGTCATAATGATATTTTTTCTTCCAGATGATTCAAATCAATAGCCATTATTGGCTTCATTGTCCATGAATTTCTCTACTATCTTTTAAATCTATACAATTCTAGAGCGCCTGCTATATCTACAATTGTAGGGCCTCAGAAAACCTCAGAACTAGAAAAACAGACCTACTACATTTGTGCCTTGTTTTAGGGGTTTCCCATCAACCTCTGGTTGGCACAGCACAGCATTAAAGATGTGCTGAATAGCTGGAATGTTTGTTTAATCTAGCTGGGTTCTTCTTAGGCTTGTAGTGGCTTTATGGGGAACTAGATTGGGAGTGGGTAGATTCAAATGCTTTCAGCCACAGAAACTTTTTTTTTTTTAAAGATCCCAGAATTTGAATGGAATTCCCCACCTCCATGGAACCTTCAGATTCTGCAAAACACAGCTTCAAAAACCCCGAAGTGGATTATTATTTAAACTTACTTTGCTGATTAAGTACACAGAAAGAAGTTGTTTAGACAATGATTCTATGGTCATCATAACGCCTTGGAAAATGAGAGAAAAACTATGAGCCTTTCTGTAAAACCTTACTTGTATCCAAGGCCTTCAAATGTTTTTATGCCATTTAAGGCTGGCTCTGGGCTCTCAAACTTAAGTATATAGGATATTTTCCCCTGGCATCTATGCTGCAAGGCACTACCTGCTCAAGAAAAGGCAGGAATCAAACTGAAAGAACAGGGAAGATCTCATGCTGCAGTTACTAGACCAGAAGGCTAGAGCTGAACAGCTTTATATTAGCCAGTTGCACTGCATTGGTCGCCTGAGGGACAGGGGAATCAACTGAGTTTTCCAGCCCAGAAGATTAAATGGATTGTTTCAGCAGGGATTGTGTAAGTCCTCCATCTGGCCACCAGTACCAGCGGCGAAAGGGATGGATCTCTGATCTACAGGGCTTGGCCATACCTCTCCATTACAGTGATATGGTATTTCATTTCCCATAGGTTTGGGGGAAAAGAGGCCTATATGAATTTCATGAATGAGTTCCTTGAGCACAACTGGGATACCATGAAATCATTTCTCAGCAGTGTTTCAAGCCCTGGTAGTACCATAGCACTGAGTGCCTATAATGACTCAATTGACCTGGCCCTGGAATTGTCCATCCTTCACTCCCTGCTCTGCAACATATTCTCTACTCTGGAACAGGTATCAGCTACTCTTGAGGGGAGGGGGGAATTCTTGTGATAAACTAGCCTGCCTTCTAGTGGCAAGGCGCCACACAAGCTTTTTTGCATCATCCACAATGGTGGGAACCTGTTCATGTGTGAAAACAACACAGAAACAGGTGCTTCTGTGGACTTTTTATTTGAAACTGGAAAAAAATGAAACTTTGATTTTAGTTTTTGATGATTAAAATGATTTTATTATTATAGAAATGGCTTGAAATATTGTGAAATGCAAAGCAAATGGTTGGGATCACAATTTGTATTTTACTGAAAAAAGTCAGAAATGACTACCATTTTTTCTCTTTGCATTTATCTTTTTCTCTTAGTTCTCTAACTTTTGTCTTTTTCTGCATTTTTAATCTTACAGTGAAACTTAATAAAATCTATAAAATAAAAAGACAGAAACAGATGTTAAAATTTAGGGCTTAGGCCACCAACTATTGTCTCAAATCAAAGTCTTCTGGGATTGGTTTTAAGCCCTTGTTGTCTGCATGCTACACACCAAGAACTTTACTCCATACACTAATTGCAATTGCAAATGAGATCAAAGGAAGGGAAAACAAAAGACCCAATAGTGAAGTTAGGAACACAGGATACATAGGAGAAGAAAAGGTTAATGTTTGGCTGTGTCTGCACAATACGCTTAATTGGATAAAGGGGGACTTAGTATGCTGGGAAAACACCGGTCAGCATCAAGTTACAGAGGATTCATACAACAGCCTTGGAACTTAAATTAACCTCTTCCAGCCAGCCATGTCATGCAAACTAAGAGTAGAGGATAACTGAAAATGAGCCCTATAAGAAATCCTTGTCTATAGCCTTGGGACCGTTCCAGGGATTCCATTTCTCTCTTATCGGATGTGGTTTTCAAAGGGAGGAAAATGGGTAGATATGGGTAACTCTCATTAACTGCCCTCTTCAGTAATGCTGACTGTTAGGCCTGTAAGATTTTTTTCAAGTATTTATTTATTTTTTAAAAAATCAACAGTTGACAGTTTTCTAGCCACTTTTATAGCAGCTAGTAGACTGCCAAAGATGGCTCTTCTTCATCTGAGAAGGAGATAGATCTGTTTGCTTTGAAGTCAACTGTGAGGAAAGGGTGTAATAAAGTTTGCAAGGGAGAGAGAGAAGCTATTCTGCAGGCAAATTGTCCAAGACAGGAGATACTTTTTAAAGTAAGTTCAATTTTGTGTGTGTGAATTTAAATACACAGTATAAGAAATAAGTATATATAGATGTAAATGTATAAATGCAAGGAACAGAAAACAGATCAGCCTTTGGCCAGACTGAAAGCAATTTCTACCATTGGTCTGGCCAAGTTCTTTATGGAGACCTTTTCTCTCTTCTACTTACAAGCGGATCCAGGAGAAACTGCAGCCTCTGCCAGCAATCCTCCAGGCCATCCAAGAGGGAACCCCTGTGCCGGTCTCCATTCTTCTTGGGCCTCAGATGGAGGAGAGGTAATGAATGACAGTGCCAAAAGTGACGTGTGGTCTTTGGGGGTTGACAAGGAATGTTTTATCCCATCTTTTTTTCCCTTTGGGGAAGGGCTGCCCTTTAGCCTCTAACTGCTTACTTCTTGATTCTATGGTTATGGCCACCTTGTAGCACTAATGGAGGATGGAGCTTACTTATCACTAGTTCAGACCTGTTCCCCTATGCCCTCCTCTGTGCTTGTTAGCCTTTCAAACCACTAGAGTGGTATTCAAAATTAGCTTAATTTTTTCATTACAAATGTGGGGTAGCCAAGTAATTTCTTGTTTGGCAACTTGAAAGAAGGCAAATTCGCTGCTCAAAGTACTTATCTAACATCTGTCAGATCTGCCTCAGTCTGATATCCTAGGGAAGTAAAATTCTCAACTCCATTTGGTTGAAGTGAAAAGACACTATTACTAAGAAATGGTGATAGCAGTAGAGTCAAGCAGAATCTAAGGTTCCCTTGCACCTTGTACAGAGCTAACCCCTTGGTCCCGCTAGAGTCCTCCCCCTATGGTCTGTTTGTGTGTAGCCAATCCAGCACTGCTGAGATATTTTGAGAAATGCTGAGATGTTTGGGTTGTTGAAATTCCACTCTGAGGGTAAATGGCCTTGAAGATGCCAGCCCGTCAGTATGAGCCAGGTCCAAAACACTCTGTTCTTCCTCAACTATCAACTCCCTCCTCCCAATTTCCCATTATAAACATATACAGCTTTATTGCCCATTTGTTTCCCTCTCCCTTCCTTGATTGATTGCAGAATGCCAGCAAGACGCCAAGCTGAAGGTGGTGGATCTGACATGCTTCCCACTTGACAAGGACATCAGTCCTGCATAACAAACAGAAAGACATTACAGATATTGAGAGAAACAAAATAGATGTACAGTTAGATAAGTGAAATATTTTGGTTTATCAAGATATTGGTTATGGAAGTGTTTGGCCACTTTAATGTGCTTAACTATTCAATTTTGGAGGGAGGAAAGTCTTGGCATGCAACTAAATACTGAAGATTTCCTCAGTGTTTACGAGAGTTTAAAATGTACTTAATTTAAAAATGTTATTCTCCCTCAATCATGAGTGGCTTGGGTGGCAGAGGCGGCTTCAGGTGCAGAGGGAACAGAATTTCCAATTTTAGTACACTACAATGGAAAATCGGGTGAATGTGCCTAAGGGATTTTAGCAGTTGGAGTTCAACTGTGACTGGGTTGATGATCTTTTTGATGGGGAAAGGGCCAATGTACTTAGGTTTTTTGGAAGGCTGTCTGGACTGCAGGTATTATGTGGAGAGGTAGGCAACCCAGTCCTTTAATGATGTAATGTGAGGGGGGATGACCAGGGGTAGCTCAGGCATGAGCACAAAGTCCTGTCCCATAGCCACCTTGAAAGGAATAAACCTGGTGCTGCTATGTATGAAGTTTTTATTTATCTGAAATGATATAGGGTTTCCTGCCTGAGCAAGTGGTTGGACTAGATGACCCCCAAGATCCCTTCCAACTTTATTATTATTATTATTATTATTATTATTATTATTATTATTATTATTATTTATTGAAAGTTTTTTAAATTTTACAAAACAAATCCCCTCCCCAAACCCCCCCACCCTCCCATACCCTCCCCCACCTCCCCAAACCTCCCAAACCCTCCCCCAACCTTCCCAGAGCTGAGTACAGGCTTAATTAAAATTTTTCAGAAAAAGAAAAGAAAAACTTAAAACACATATAAATCCTAAACAAATCTAAATACATTAAATTAAATAGGTTATCTTCTCTAAAAAATAATAATTGCAATCATTAAACACATTATAATATACTCTAAAAATTTTCTAGTATCATACTTATATTATTATCCATCATTCTGTATAAACTCCCTCCAAAACACAAATTTAAACATTACTTTCTTTGAATATCTATACCTACAATATAAAATCTAATCTCTCCCTCTTTCTTTATCCTAGAACACAAAAATAAACATATAAACCTTCATTATACCATTAAAACTAAATACTCTTTGAATACTTAAACTAAATACTTAAACTTAAACTTCTTATCTAAGATTTTCATTCAATCTCCATAATCTTCTCTCCTATAAAAAAAAACTTAAAAGACATATAAATCCTAAACAAATCTAGGTACATTTAATTTAACAAGTTATCTTCTCTTAAAAATAATAATAATGATAATAAAAAACCCAATCATTAAACTCATTATAATATACTCTGAACATTTTCATATCATACTTATATTATTATCCATCATTCTTTATAAACTCCCTCCAAAACACAAATTTGAACATTACTTAAAACATTAGAATTCCCTTATACACATTTAAATCTTTACCAATAACAAATTCCATCCACAATAAACACATTCCTTATCAGTCTCTCTTGTCCATAAACCATTAGAATTCCCTTATACACATTTAAATCTTTACCAATAACAAATTCCGTCCACAATAAACACATTCCTTATCAGTCTCTCTTGTCCATAAACCTCAAAAGAAGTGCTTTGAAAACTGCCCTTAAAGCTAGCTCCCAAAAGTTTGTAAATCTTGCTTCTCCCACAGACTCAGTACTCTTTTGAATACTTAAACTAAGTACTTAAACTTAAACTTCTTATCTAGAATTTTCATTCGATCTCCATCCTTGTCAGTCTCTCTTATCCATAAATCTCGAAAGAAGTGCTTTGAAATCTGCCCTTAAAGGTAGCTCCAAAAAGTTTATAAATCCTGCTTCTCCCACAGACTCAGGAGCCAATACTTGTGAGGCTTCCTTAAACTCCTTCTTCTGTTGCTCTTTTTCTTTACGATTATATGTTGCACGAGTTGTCCTCTGCTCCTTCATCTCGACTTGTTGAGGCCCCTCAAACTGAGATTTCCCATTTTTCATTAATATAGGCTCTTCAGACTGCAATTCTACCCTTAAAGGTTGCTCCAAAAAATTTATAAATCCTACTTCTCCCGCAGATTCAGAAACCAATAGTTGTGAGGCTTCCTTAACCTTCTTCTGTTGCTCCTTTTCTTTACAGTTATATGTTGCACAGGTTATCCTCTGCTCCTCCATCTCAACTTGTTGAGGCCCCTCAAACTGAGGTTTCCCAATTTTCATAAGTATAGGCTCTTCAGACTGCAATTCTACCTTCTTTTCTTCCAAAACTTTAAACTTAATAGATGGCGATGAACATACCCCCAGGACCGAAGTATAAAAGTCTTTTGCTTGAGAAACAGTATTAAGTCTATAACATATCCCCAGGTAGTTCACCACCATTCCAATCGGAACATCCCATCTGAACAAGATTCGTCTCTTTTTAAGTTCATCTGCTAAAAAAGCAAACTCATTTCTTCTTCTTAAAATTTTAGATGGGATCTCCTTTAGAATTATAACCTCTTGTGAAGCAATTTGAAATCTCTTCTTATAAAAAGCTTGTATAATTTCGTTGCGCAGGGATCTTTTCCCAAAGTAAATTACCACATCTCTTGGCAAATTCTTTTGCACTGCCACCACAGAGTTAACTCTAAATAATTTTTCAATTTCACTAAGTATTTCCTCTTTTTCTTTATTCAAAATCACAGCAAAGTCCTTTGCAACCATCTCTCTCAGATCTCCTTGCACAGACTCTCCCAAACCTCTGATTCTTAAGGCACATTCCATTTGTCTATATTGAAGCATAAGAATCTCATTTTCCATTTCTTTTTCCACGCTTTCAAATTTTCCCTCCATCAACTCCACTTTTTCTGTTACCTCTTCTACACGAGAGTTCAGCTTTTCAAGAACAGAGGCAACTCCTTTTAGAGCCAACACTATCTCTTGCCTCAAAATCTTATTATTTTCCTCTAAAATCTCTTTCATTTCTGCCCTAATTTGAGATATAACATTTCCCATCATATCTTGCAAATCCTTCACAATTATTGGCTGTACCAAGGAAGAGGGTGAAGCTATTGATTTAGGTTGTTGCACTGATGATAACACCGAAGAAGAAACCACCTTAGGAGCTGTAGGAATTACTGGACGCTTTGGAGCCATCTTAAAAAAAATCTTTACTCCTTCTTAAAAATTACAAAAATTAAGCAAAAGAAAAAGAGAGATTAAGTCCAAAAAAATTCAAAAAATCCTTCAAAAGGAGATCATTATAACAAAAAGATACTGAACGCTTTGGAGCCATCTTAGAAAAATCTTTACTCCTTCTTAAAAGTTACAAAAATTAAACAAAAGAAAAAGAGAGATTAACTCCAAAAAATCAAAAAATCCTTCAAAAGGAGATCATTATAATAAAAAGAAAGGAGTTAAAAAAAGAAAAGGGAAGAAGAAAAAAATAATTAAATAGAAAAAATCCATTCCATTTTTTTAAAAGTACAAAAAGCAAAACAAAGAAGTTAAACAAAAATAATAATGCTTCTAAAATCCAAACCCAACATCAAAATCAAATCCACATTCCGTTCCAATCATTAAAAAAAAAGGAAAAGGATAAAAAAAAAACCAAAAAGCCTGCCGATCGCCATTCTACCTTCCCCCCCCCAAAAAACCAAAAAAACCGAAAGGCTTGCCGATTTATTATTATTGATCATCGCACAGTCAGCCAGATGTTCAGACTGGATTTGGCATTTTGTCTACCTATCGAGTCCTTACCCAGGACCTGGGATAGGCAGATGTGGATGTTTGATGGTATTACAGATATCGTCGCAGGATGGAAGCAGTTCCTAATAAGGCCGCCTTTTGCAATTGACTAATAGCGAATTTGTCAATGCCAATGGTGTTCAAGTGGTGCTCCAGTTGTTTTGGGATTGCACCCAAGGAGCCTATGACTATTGGTACTACCCTTGCTTGCTTTTGCCACAGTCTTTCTATTTCTATTTGTAGGTCTTTGTATTTTGTTATCTTCTCCAGTTCTTTCTCTTCTATTCTGCTATCTCCAGGCACTGCCACGTCCACTATCCAGACTTTTTTGTCTTTCTTATCGACAATTGTTAAGTCTGGGGTGTTATGTTGCAGG